CACACACACACACACACACACACACACACACACACACACACACACACTTCGTCAAGCCGTCTTACGGCAACACAAAAGGGGATCTGGAGGATCGCCCGGCCGCATGACCACGACCTCTCGCCTGCTCTCGACTATTGCTTGCTTGCTTGCTTTCACCTGCTTGCACGTGCCTGCCTTGCCTTAACTTCCGCCTTCGCTGCATGCTGAACCAGACGAGGCCATCTGAGCGGCCACGAGGCCTACGGACAGGACGAGGCCCGGTGGAGTCCAGGCGACCGGCGCATCCCGGTGAGTCGCTTTTCGCTTTATTTGCTGCATGCGCATTGTTGTGCCGCAATTCCGGCACAAGGTTCTAGGATTTCGGGTCGGAGAACAAATGAGTCACAATGTGTAAAATAACTAAAATATATTTCCCTTATTCAATTTTACTACAGTTCCCTTTTTTTCTACTTCGGTATTCACGTAACTGAAAAAGCTTTTGTACAATAGACGCACGTTTCCGTATTGTTGCTAGCTGACGACTGCCCACCGCTTGTCGGAAAGGCGGGCTCTTTATTCGCTCGGTATTACTGACTTAGTTGTCAGCGTTTTTGATACCGGGATCAAAGGTCTAACGGGCAGGTAATGTCCGGAATACCCATAAATGGTCATTCCCGCCGAAACTTGTGCAGGTCTTCGCGTCAGCGATCTTCGTCGCTAGGGTCATATTTCCGATAGGAGGCAACTCGGAGTTGTCAAGTGCAATACTTAATCTCTAATTCGTTGTGCGCTCACAACAGCATCTTGCCTTCGCGTTACATTAGTCGTGAGGGGATTATAATTACCTCCCTCTGGTCCTTCAAGCAACATTTCGCACATCTCGCCTCCGGGGGACTGACACCCCCCCGTTCAGTCTTTATTCATGCACATAGATGACTATTGTTGTAATTTTTTTTGAAATTTACTGTACAGATTGTATTATATCAGAAGATGTTTCCCCGTCTTTTGTCCACTCTTCTTTATATCCTTGTCTGGCTGGTGATGGTCGTGATAATGTTTGTTTATGTTGTGGTGATGACTGTGGTGGTTTTGATAGTGTATGACTGTTTTGTGTGAATGATTTTGTGGCTGGTGAAGGAGAGCGTGATGATATTTGTTTATGTTGTGATGGTAGTTTTGATGATGGATGACTATTTTGTGTTAATTTTCTAGCTGGTGAAGGACAGCGTGATGTTCGTTTATGTTGGGATGGTAGTTTTGATGATGGATAAATATTTCGTGTGAATGATTTTGTAGCTGGTGAAGGAAAGCGTGATGATGTTCGTTTATGTTGTGGTAGTGGTTTTGATAGTGGATGAATATTTCGTGTAAATGATTTTGTAACTGGTGAAGGTGAGTGTGATGAGATGAGTCCATGCTGTAATGGTGCTGATAAAGGGGGCATGTGTTCATGTGATTGTACAGGTGAGAATGATCATGATGATGGAGCATGCAGGGATGATGATGCTGGGGATTGTGAATGTTGCTGTAATGGTGCTGTTTGTCTTTGTGTAGTTGTGACGTTTTGTGCCCTGTGTCCTTGTGTGTTCTTTCCGCCTTCCTGAGAACGGGATGTGCGATATTTTGCAATATCCGCATTCAGCGATTGCAATTTGATGTTTGTACGTTTTTTTCGCTCCTCTTCTTCTTCCTCGTTGACTCATCTAAGTAATAATTTGAGAGAACTCACCTAATGAAGGCATCTTAATCTTAGTATGTAGAATGACTGCAACTATCCAGACGTCAACAATAGGATCTATATGCCCTTCAGTGTGCCAATAAAGCATACAAAAACATTTACTCTCCACTTCATTCAGATCTATTACATAGACTTTATCAGATAATAATGATCATCGAAAGACACCTACTGATGACGATGGCAAACCAACATCGAAAAAATCTTCAACTCTGCAAAACTTTTTAACCGCCAACTGATAATGCTCACGCGAGAGAATGATGCTCTGAACAAGACAAACCTTTGAATTATGTAATATTACTGTATTATTCTGATTCTTCACCGATATACGAAATTTTCCTGAGTCTAAGATCTGAAATTGACGAATATCTAGGGGAGTATCAAAAACTACAGGACTAACCCAGGGTCTACTGGAACGTACCACTTCCTCAGTTACATGTACGATGTTTTGTGTAACTTGTAACTTTTTAAGTCGCCTATTTACGATTTGCTGCAAATGTTGATGAGGCTTTTGGCAAGCTTTGCGGAAATATGTCATATTATTTTTATATGGAAACATGGACAATTCATTCAATGAGCCAAAGCGTCTCGCGTCATCTACGAGATGTAAAAGATAATGAGTAATGTAAGAAAGAAATTCTGGACCATATATATCTTCTGCTCTATTTATAAAAATGTTTATTGCTGTGTGTGCAAAATCAAGACGGTCTTCTGATAAGGAAGAACTAACCAGAATTCGAATGGCAGAATGTAATAGAAGAAAATGTTTATATGCAGCAGGATTTATAAGTCAATAATAAACTGGGGCAGTATACAAAAGAAGTTGGGGATTTTCCGTAGCTTTAAACCCTTCATATTTTTTCATTAATTGCGGTTTTCGTGAAAATTTCTTAGGGCAGTAATTCTTAACTTGCTGTAGACGTGTAATAATAATTTTAAGTAATCTGGCTAAAAGTTTTAAATTTGGATTATATTTTCCATCAACAAAAACACTATTTGTTTTTGGAACAACACAAAAAAAAACAGTGTGCATCAAGTCGAAGAGCGTTTGAGTTACCAACCCTATCCCTAAAGTAAGCAGAGCAGAATCATAATCTGTATGATGTTTTCCATCAATGCGCTGTCTGTACTCTTCGTCTATACGGGGCCTGTGTTGAATACCACGATAAGCTACTACTCCACGACGAAGCCAATTTCCCCAAATCCAACATTTTAAACTATATACTGCCATGGCCTTTATGACCCAATACAAAAGCTTGCGCAGGAAAATCAGCTATAAAACATCTCAATTCAATTACTTTCAATGGATTATCAAAAATAACTCCACGATTTAATACATCTTGAACTTCATCCACAAAATATTGGAATAATTCCTGCGCATTACTTGGTTTTGATGATCCTTGCCAGACGCCTACAATTTCTGGTTTACTTCGACGAATATTTGCAATCCTAATTTGTATTGGCCACATTTGAATTTTGCCCTGTCCATCTAATGTTGCACCATCTGTGCTAAAATCTACCATCAAAGTGTCAAGTGGAATCAGTTCCGGAAAGGTTTGTTGAAGAATGGAAAGAATTCCTGTCTCAAATCCTAAATGGAGATATTCACCCCCTGCAATGTTAAGTGTGGGATGCGCGGTACGTGGAGTCTTTAAAAGCGTTCTACTATCCTTTGGCAACGTAGATAAACAAGAATGTGTTCGAACAACCTGTAAAACAGCATTTGCGAATGAGACATATTACTGCGTACGAAGACTTCAGCAAGGCGTTCTTGAAAATTATCAATAGTATCTCGAGGTTCAATATCCACCGCATCATCATAATCTGAAATGGATTCAGCATCGTTTGAAGAACTTAATACTTCATCGACCTCATTATAAGCAAATTGCACATTATTAGCTGATGCATCAGAACATACAGAAATTTCATCTTCCTCAGTCTGACTGCATTCTGCAAGAATTTGACCTTCGTCAACAAAGTCTGAATCGGCTCTAGCATTAGCAACATCTAAATTCTGCTGTTGTAAACATTCGTATTCATTACGTGCAGCTCTTTCTAATTTTTCCAAACGACGACAATGGACTGCAGATAGTAAATGATATGGCTTGCGACTGCGCCTGTTTGCCAAACGCAACATACTGATAAAATGGAATATAAACAAAAGAAATATTCAAGACGAAAAAAATTACAACTCAAGAAAGAGTTGTTGGAGGTGACGGGGAATTAGGGCAGCGACGCAAAAAGAGAACGCACGAACACGACAACGATATGAAGTCAGAATGAGAATATATTTCAGATACACAATCACCGTACGTCGTGAGCGAAGGCAAGAGACATGTACGTTTGTTACGATCGAGTGACGCGAGAGAGTGAGAAAAGTAAGTAAGAGCGCGAGCGTCGTGACCGGAACGACACAGTCGGTAACATCCGGTTAATCGAGCTCGCAGCGCACGCTGTTAGGGTAACAGCGGAGATCGTTCTATCCAACACTTCCCCTCGATGCGAGAACGGATGATCCTTATTGAAGAGTAGCAATCTGCTCCATCCCGGATAAAGCGATGCACTTCTCGAATTTTGGTCTTGGTATGCTCTTCGTAAACATGTCAGCCACGTTATCGTCTGTAGAAACGTGTTCAACGCGTAGGCGTTTGTCCTTCAGGGTCTCTCGGATAAAGTGGTGGCGAATATTTTGCTACGCGCATGAAAAACTAGATTGTCTGCAAGTCTCAATGCGCCGAAGTTATCGCTAAACACCTCGATGTCGGTTAACTCCTCGAATCCTAGTTCGTTGAGAATAGCTGTCCAATGAATCGATTCCTTGGCTCCCTCCGTTAGCGCCATATTCTCTGCCTCGGTGGAGGATAAAGCAACAGTCCTCTGCTTCCGTGAATCACAGGAAATGGAACTGCCGTTGGTGGGTGAGACCTGTTAATAGAAGGAAACGACAACAGGGTTTCCTGAATAACCTATTTCGCGAAATAAAATCAAATGATCATGAAGAATTTTTCACGTACACACGGCTTTGCCCGGAACAATACAGAACTTTATTGGAGCTAGTAACACCATATCTTAGAAAACGCAGCATGCGAAAACCTTTGTCACCAGATACAAGATTAGCCATAACCTTGACGTAAATAACTACAATTGATGATAGTGCTATCTGGTCTTAATTCACATTTTTTAAGTTTTTTCCTTTTGTAGGTATCTTGCCCAAGGTGATAGTGTGGTAACGAAACATTTGGAGTATCGTGTAGGAAGATCAACAGTATACAAAATTGTACCAGAAGTGTATCATGTTATATGGCTGGTTCTTCAACTTATTGTTTTGCCTGTATTGAATGCTGAGAAATGGAAAAAGATAAGCGAGGAGTTTTTCCTTAAGTGGCAGTTTCCAAATTGTGTAGGAGCACTTGACGGTCGCTATATGGAAATACAAGCACCGCCATGCTCAGGGTCTTAATTTTATAATTACAAAGGCTATTTTAGCATAGTTCTTATGGTACTGTGTGACGCCAATTACAAATTTACATGGGTTGATATAGGTTGATATTGGTCAATATAGTAAATATATCTTGTATCCATAAATTTATATACATAAGATATAATATCCTGGTTAATAACAAGAATGATTCCTTTGTAGGTTCAATAAGTGATGGTGGCGTATGGAGTCAGACAAACTTGGCTGCTGATTTAGAAAGCAATGCAGCAGATTTACCAGAACCTACGCCTTTGCCACAAAGAGATATTCCATTTCCTTATATGTTATAGTGGCTGACGAGGCGTTCCCTTTAAAGCCATATTTAATGCGTCCATTCCCAAAGGGGAGAGTGAAGAGGATGACAGATGAGAAACAAATATTTAACTACCGGTTAAGTCGAGCACGTTTGTGTATAGAGAACACTTTTGGCATACTTGCCTCTCGTTGGAGGATCCTACATAGAAAGCTGAGTTGCTCAGTACAGAATGCAGAACGTAAAGCACTTATTTGTTTACATAATTTTGCCATGAGTACTAATAATAATGGCCGATATTCTCAGCCTGAACATCTTTATGTGGATAACGATAAAGGAAGAAGTTTTGAAGATCGTTGGCATAATATAGGAGCTGAAGAATACTTTAAAGAATTATCAAGAGTAGGACCTAATAGAGCTGGAGCTCTTTCTTTGGGCTTACGCAATTATCTAAAAGAATGCTTTCTGTCACCTACTGGCAGTGCTCAAGCACCCTGGCAATTTGAAAGAGCATTTAAGGAATCCTACATCAACCCACTTGCTTAATGGCTGGGTTTTGCCGAACCTCTGCTTAGCTAAGCGCACGTAAGCAGCGAGCGCTTGCTGCAATATGGTGCTGAGGATCTGCTTGAGCAGCACCGACGACGAAGCCGTCGAGGAAACCGAGAACGTCGTCACCCAACCGAAGACGATCAAGAGGATCGTCCTGGACCGCCGGCAGGATCCCGTCGACGTTAACGCGCAATTCATAGCGGCCGAGAGCAAACATTATTTCCTGATTGAGGAACCGTACGGCCACCGTGTCTCCACACGTCGATGTCGAGGTCGTGAAACCAGAATCGGTGCGCTTCCACGACGAGGAAGAGAATCAGGCGTTCGTCGAGCAGCCGGAAGCATGATAGAGGTAACATTGCACAATCCGGTAAAAGTTTAACTTAACTCATACGAATTAAAAACCTTAATGAGCACGATGTTATTTCAGGTGATGTTTGAGAAGTACGGTTTCGCTGGTGCTCGGGGGGCGGTAGAGCCGTACCCGGATTTGCGATAAAGCGAAGCTCGAAGGACCAGGGGGTGTAAGTCTCCCCCAAAGCGAGTTATTTTAAGCAAATGCGACTCACCGTTCGTTGTGCCGTCGACTCCTGGATGCTTCGGCTTGGTCGCGATCGGGCTCGTGCAACAGCGCAAGCAGGGCAGCAAGCAGGGCGAAAGCGAGGCAGGCAGCAGTAAGTTAAGGCAGGCAGCAAGCAAGCAGGAGGAAGCAGGTAAAGGCAGCACACAAACAGGCCGAGAAAGTAGGCGATCGCACTATCCGGGAGCGAACGGATGATCTCGCGACTCCGGATATTAGCGCAAGTCTCCCTGCTCCGATAATCTCTCTGTGCTCCGAGACGTCGTAACGATGAGTGCCGAGAGCTCGCGGCGCTGGAACAGTGTCGCGAGCGAGTACTTGTTCTTCAGGCGGGTGCCCTCGTGGGGTGAGCGAGGGCAGCACCAATTGGTGAGTCGCGCAATTATCGATTCCGCGTTGATCGCGATCCGCTGACGTTTCGCGCGAGTCACCGAAATACTTAAGACTAGGTACGCAAGAATACTATGTACAACGAGTAACGAGACTAAACAATTAAGTATGATACATGCATCTATCTACAGTTTGGTGAGCGCCAAACATACCGCCCACCAAAATACAACGAGTTGTATTTTACTGTCAATTTGAATCGGTCGCCTGTGGAGCAGGGCCCATCGGCAGGGGGCACAGCTTCACTAGGGGACGCGTGATCGTGCCGTCCGCCACCCGCACCGTGGCGACACGCGGGACGCCGTCGCTGCCCGGATGCAGCGCCTCCACTCTTCCTCGCCTCCAACGCAGAGGAGGCATGTTGGCGTCCTTGAGGAGGACTAATGCACCGACACCGAGCGGGTTGACGGAGGTCCACCATTTGGGACGCTGTTGCAGCGTATGGAGATACTCCTGATGCCAACGCTTCCAGAAGTCCTGGTGTATTCGTTGGACGAGTTGCCACCGACTCAGACGATTCATCGGTAACGGGGTCACGTCTTGAGTGGGAACGGAGACGAGCGGTTCCATCGTGAGGAAGTGACCCGGCGATAGGACTTCGAGGTCGGCAAGGTCGGTGCTCATCGGGCAGAGGGGTCTGGAGTTCAAGACGGCCTCGACCTGCGCGAGGACCGTCGTGAACTCCTCTATTGAGAGGACTTGATCACCCACGGTCCGCCGCAGGTGGGTTTTAAAAGTCTTGACTCCCGCCTCCCAGAGGCCCCCGAAGTGGGGCGCGGAGGGAGGATTAAAGGACCACTTGATCTTCTCTCGCTCCGCTGCGAGGCTCATGCGGCTTTCTAGTTCCCGTGCGGCCCCTACAAAATTCGTTCCGCAGTCGCTGTAGAGAAGCGAGCAGCGTCCGCGTCGGGCCACAAAGCGTCGCAGCGCAGCGAGGAAGGAGTCGGTGGACAACGAGAAGGCGGCTTCCAGGTGCACCGCCTTAACCGAAAAGCATATGAAAAGGCACGCGTACACTTTGACGGAGGAGACCCCCCGGGCTCGTCGCGTAACTATGTTGAACGGTCCCGCGAAATCAACGCCGCTGATCGAAAATGGCTTGGCCTGTCGGACCCTATCGGCCGGTAGTTCCGCCATGAGGGGCTGAGAGGTGTGTGGCTTTACGCGGAAACATTGATGACATCTCGAGAGTACGCGTTGTATAGCGCGATGCACCCCGAGGACCCAATAATGTTGCGTGAGCAGGTATTGCAGCGTGCGCCGACCAGGGTGCATGTTCGTGCGGTGCACGTGCTCGATAACGAGATCCGTGAGCCTATGTTTACAGGGCAGTAAGGCAGGGTGCTTGTTCTCGAATGTCAATCCGGATTTTGCAAGCCTGCCGCCCACCCTGAGAATACCCACCGGATCAAGGAAGGGAGCGAGTTTGCGAAAGGGCTTGGGGAGCCTTCTCCCGCTTTGAAGACGATCGATCTCATCGCGGAAAGCATCCGCCTGTACACTCTTCACAACGAGTAGTAACGCGGAATGCAGTTCGAGCTGATCTATGGCCAAAGTCGTAGGAGCAGATTTTGCACGGAAGTGATGTACAAACCTGAGAATGTATGCTATAATTCGGCCAATTTTCTCGATTGAAGAGAATCTTTCGAGCAACGAATGTACCGCGTCAGGCGGATCGAGCGTCACGAGCGATACGATCTTCTCCTCCTCGATCGGAGGGGTTTCTGAACCGTGGGAAGGCTCAACTCGGGGTTCGAAGCGAACAAGCCACTCAGGGCCCGCCCACCACATCGAACTGGCCACCAGATCGCGAGGATAAAGCCCGCGGGAGCAGTGATCCGCCGGATTGGACTCCGTGTCGACGTGACCCCAAGCTGATACCGGCACGTTGTCCTGAATGAGGGCAACGCGATTTCTAACGAAGGTCTTCCACCGTTGTGGTGCTGAGCGGATCCAGGCCCGGGCGACCTCGGAATCCGTCCAAGCATACTCGTCGTCAATGTCAAGGTGTCCGCGGAGGGTGCGCCGGACGTATGCGATTAATTTAGACAAGAGCAGAGCCGCGCAGAGCTCCAAACGGGGAATGGTGAGGGGGCGAAGCGGGGCGACCTTAGACTTGGCGCACAGTAATCGGACCCCGACGCCGTCGCGCGTAACGATTCGCAGATAAATCACGGCTCCGTACCCCAGCTCGCTGGCATCGCAGAACCCGTGGAGTTCGCAGCGATCTACATGGCACGAGTTAAACGCGCGAGGAACGCGAAGGGAAGATAACACGCCGAGCTCCGTCTGGAAACGACTCCAACTGCGACGAATGTCCATCGGAGGCTCATCATCCCAATCTAACTTGAGGGTCCACAGACGCTGAATTAAGCACTTCGCCGTAAAGGTGAGTGGGGCCAGAAAACCCAGGGAGTCGAATATGCGCGCTACTTCCGACAGTATAGTGCGTTTGGTGCACTCCCGATCCAACGCGTTGACTTGAAACCCGAAACTGTCAGATTGTGAGTGCCACCGAAGGCCCAATAT